TTGTACCAGATTTCCCGATCGCAATGTTCTTGAGGCAACGTGGCTATCTCCCGATCAATCAATACGAAACCAGATTTGACTCAGACTACAACCGCCGATCAAAGTATGGATCGGTTTGATATCGCTTTATGTTAGTAACGTGAACGCTCTGATAAATTAAATAATTTAACATAGATATTGGAAACATGCTCACACTTCCTACCGACAACTGTGAAAAATGTCCTTGGTTTCCAACGTCTCCACGACGAAACCAATAGGGTCCTTCAGGGCCAGTTTAAGGGCAGCGCCAAAAGCCAAGCGAACAATATTGGGATATGTAGAAGGCAGAACGAGAGGAATTTTATCAAAATGTCAATCGTCTGACTCAACGCTTAAACCCTGCAGCAATTTTAATACCTTTTATAGTATGTATTGAAACAATTAGAAATATTATTTGACCAGGAACTTTAGCAGTTCGATTAACTGCTAATATAATTGCTGGACATTTATTATTAACATTATTAGGTAATACAGGACCATCATTAAATTCATTGATTTTATCTATTTTATTATTTAGACAAATCTTATTATTATTATTGGAATCTGCTGTAGCTATTATTCAATCATATGTATTTGCAGTATTAAGAACACTTTATTCTAGAGAAGTAAATTAATGTCAACTCACTCAAATCATCCATTTCATTTAGTAGACTATAGTCCTCGACCTTTAACAGGAGCTATTGGTACAATAACAATCGTTTCACGAATAATCAAATCATCAATATAATATATCATTACTTACTTTAGGAAATATTATTATTATTAATTCTGCTTTTAGAGTCCCCAATCGAAAACGATGATGTTGATATTCCACCATCCATCCATAACGAAGTGCGTGTTGCTATACAGCGAGTAAAAAAGAACAGAGCGGCTGGCACAGATAGTTTACCTGCGGAATTGTTAAGCGCCGTGCCGTTTTTGATCTGGTCGCTCCATTATTGACCAAATATTCAGACTGCGACAAATCATGGAATAAGTCCACAAACATAACATCAACACCCATCATCTTTTTGTCGATTATAAACCAATAATATATGAACTCGTTATCTCTGCAAAGTTAATACGATTTTGTAGAATGACGTTGAGTAATACCTGTATCTTTTGTAAGATAGAATCGCGTCGCTCCGAATCGATTGATATCGTGCGAGGCTTCAAACAAGGTGATCTCTCATCATATGATATTTCAATTTTATTGTAATGGAACAATATTTACAAATGACTCCAGCTGCCTTTGCTGCAAAAATGAATCTGCGGAATCTTCACATCCAGCGTATAATGTTCAATATTTGAACGTATGAACTGGTTTAATCAAATCCAAATTGAATTCATTATTTGTTGGTATTGCAAGACTATAATCGAAGTGTTTAATTAGATCACAATCACATTTATCAATAGGCTACTACTGTTATGACAGTTATTTGGCTTGTCATTTTTGCTATTTTGCTAAAATGTTGTGCCTAAAAATCAAATTTATCTGCTAAGTCGCACGCCGTAAAAAAATGTTGTTAGTGAGTTCTTATATATCTGAAATGCGACTTTTAAAGGGGTCAATATAATAGAATGCATGGTTGCCCATTGTAAAGTTACTGCGGACTCCGACCACATTAAGTAGTTTATATCAAAATATGAAATTTGCTAGTGCCGGAGCAATTTTGTTATAGAGCTTTGATAGTTAGAGCGCACTATCAATTTCGATTGATAAATACTTTTCTTCTTTGTGAGCGCTGTTTGACACTTAGCTGCTATTTTGTTGATCAACAACACGAAAACATAGAACAACTGTTGCATATATTCTGTCAGATGTGCAACTGAGTTTTGAGTGGATTTTTTATACTACTTTTTATCGACGCAACAGGGCTTAGAGACTTACTCGAATCCTAGAAGGGGCCACAATACTATCCGACGCTCGCAGCGCCACATTTCATATCAATCATTTTAATGGATTTCGCCATAAATAAATCGAGGCGCTTGTAACACCTTTAGCTTTTTAAGATCCTTTATAAATTTTTGATATAGTTCGGTGTCTCAATCAAGTTTTTATGTCCTATATTTTTTTATACCAAGATTTTTGGTCGCATTAGGATTGTGCGAAATTGGTTAATTTGACCAAATGTTGATGAAATTAACGAAAAGATGACCCCATTTTGTTGTCGTAGTGCATAGTGTTTTGCTTTGATAGAGAATAACAGGATATCCTCCAAAGTATTCGAGATAATTCCTAGTGTGCTTCTTATTGATAGTGACTGTTATCAGCGCCGTATAACATTTCATCCACATAAAACTTATCTCTAATGGGTTCAAATACCATTTATTATTTAGTTGAATACTTATTTGAGAAAAGTTAGACATAAGATTATGAGAAACCGTAATGAAGACATATCGTAAGTAATGGTATTTAGCTGATATGTTTAAAGAGGATATGATTCAATTTCTCTCCAACGAATTTGCTGAAATGGGCCTAGCTCTGGATGAACTACTATCATTCGATACATTTTAACAATATTGAACATGTATTGGCGTGACTGAAAATTAGGTAATATGAAAAGTTCTTTTTGTATTGTGGGACCAGCTAATCAGGCCTATTCTGAATCGCATGGGAGCTTGTTCCCTATTCCCAAGTATGCTATTCTGAATAATTTGGGAATGGGAGTTTTGTTCCCTGTTCCCAATTTTGCTATTCTGAATCGCATGGGAATGGGAATTTTTTCCCAATTTTGCACAAATTCTTTCCCAAGCAAATTGTTGGGGAGACAAGTTAAAAAAGTATTAAAAATGGTTTCATTTAATATAAAAGTAACTGAAAATGATCAGATTTTTGAATATATTATTAATAATATTATTATTATAATAAAATTATTATAATAAATTTAATATAACTAAATTTTTATTTAATAATACATTTTATTAAAATTATTATTATAATAAAAGTATTATTACAAATGTAATATATTTAAGTTTTTATTTAATTATTTTATCCACAAGGGTTTTTTCCCACAAATTAAAGCGTAAACTATTGTTATTTAAAACAATAGATAATGAAAGAAACCCAATTTCTGAAATGAATGAGATTGCTAGAATACATTAAAATAATCTTTTGCAATTATGCGTAGGTAAAACATTGCTTCTTTTTTATTTTAACATCATAAACTATTATCAGAGTTTATTAATTGAAGAACGTTTCTATCCTAATTATAAAATTAAATTATGATTTACGACAATTTTGTACAAAAGCAGTGAATGTTTGAAAATAAAGAAATTGAAGAATTAATATAGCGTACGGTTGTTTTATAATTAGTTTAAAAAAAGAGTTAAAAAATTAAAAAAAGAGTTTAATTTAACATGTAAATAACCAACAATAATTAGTTTTTCAAATATATTTAAATGTGATATTTACACAGGACTAAAAACGCAAATAAAATGCAATAACAAATGATGCTGCAGTTAATGGAAAGTAATCCATTACTTCGGGAATGTTTATTTTAAGATAAAATGCTGAAACTATTTTCCCTTTTCCTCATATGTCTTTGGAACACTTATCTATTTTGAAAGTAAGCTCATTTTAAAAATGTTTATAACTTCAAAAAGCACTTTACTAAAGCTAGACTGAGCTAGAGCGACATCGTAGTCTTTACCAAAACCCTGCGTCATAATCTCATTCAGCAAAGAAATGCAAACAACCGCTCAATTTCACAATTGGGGCAACTGCAAACTGCTTCTTTGCTGGTTGTAGTTCCTCAGTAAGTTCCTCTAACAGGTAAATAAATGCTGGTTTATTTACTCCGTAATATTTTTGAAATCTATAATGAAAAAAAAAAAGTTTATTTTAAAACCAAATTAAATTTACACATGTACATACAAGAAATTAGGCAGCACAAGTGGATTTGCAGCGTCTCGCAAGTTTCTGCGATTGATCCTCTGTTGCAAAATTTCTTACTCCTGTTCTTGAGCCAAATCCTCCGCTAAAACTCGAAATGCAATTAAATGCATTTTTGAAAACTTTTTTAAAATTTTTTTATTTAAATAAACATTAACAACTGCACAATTCTTGTTTATTTTGCTCATGCACAATTCTTTTTATATATTTATTTTACTCATTAAAATAAAAGTTTTTTATTATTTATTATTTTATTATTTACTCATAAAATAACTTATATTTATTTCCGATAATTTGTGCAGCAAACAAATAATGCGATTTTTACATTTAAATCAACATATGATACGCAATTCTTTTCTTTGTTTTGCACATTTTCGCACTTTTCGTCATTAAAAAGTGGCATGGTTGCCAAAATTTAACAAAACAAATTTGAAACTGTTGTTGGTATTGATTTGTTTTTTTTTTTTAAATATTGATTGCACTGGCGATACTTTTTGCATTACTAGTCATTGATTTTTTGTATTTTGTTGAAGATATTTATGATTTGAAAAGAAGTTGTTTAACCGTCCAAAAATACTTATTAAAACACTATTCAACCAGTTTTATGTTATTTTAATTCTGTTATGTATCTCATTTTTAAGTATTTGTTCTATATCTGCTAGAATTGGAGAAATGGGTAACTCATGGGCGATTCATAATTTCGTTTAAAGTTTTTTATTAAACGTTACGTAACTATTGCACAAGCTTATCTAGGAATCAAGAATATTAAGATTTTTTTGGAACTAAGTTTAACTTATTCAGAAAGTCCTATTTCGTTATAAAGATTTACATTATTTTGTATGTAAGGATATTTATGAATAAGAACATAACGTTAAACGATATCATTATCATTTAATACAATTTCTACAAATTTCAAATACATTTCATATTAAACTGCCTTCAGCCTCTTAAGAAAGTAGATGTAAACAGATGGATAACAAACTAAATTCCAAGAAATTCTACTACTGACGTATATACAAATGAAATAAATTACACGGTATATAATATATAAACAAATTTATTTTTCAATTATATGATGTAACGTTAATTTATATATGTTCACTTTCTTATTTATAATACTTAAAATTAAGTTTAATGTGCTTCTGTTATTATTAACACACTTAATGCATACATAATAGACAATATTTACATTATTTATTATTTCTTTTTACTTTTTTTGCGTTTTTTATCTGAACCTTGTAAACCCTTTTTTCTCGTAATACAAACTCTGCAAAACCAATCTTCATTATCCTTTGGAGCAACAAATATACCTACGCATATCCTGAAAAATAAATAAATGTTATTGTACAATAATTCCATGTAAACAGTAATAAGCACTACTCAGACTATTTTCTTACAAACTATTTGAAATAGCTGTATTATTTTCAAAGAGAGTCCAATGCATTTGTGCTTTTAAATATTTTTAATTAATATTTTTATTTTAATATATTTTTTAATATTTTTAATTAAGACAGAAGTTAATAAAAAGAATTCATATAATATCTTAAGTCAAATAAATCTTATAAATCTTAATCTTAAAATTAACTAATCCAAGTTGCTTAAAGTTTTGAATCTATTTATAGTCAATTGGCACAGGTTTTTAGAGCCATTCACAAACTTCGTCTCGCTAGATCATTAGGATCTAGAGAAGAGATCAAAATGGCTACCAGCAACTTAGGTAAGGAATTACTGATTTCCTTTCAAAACAACACAATTCACAGTGCAAAATAAGAGAACAAAATTGAAGGTGCCATTTAAAAAATATTTATTTAGTATCACATTATGCTGTGAAATTATGACACCAAAATTTGAATTTGCTGATGCAACAGATGAATTCACGGACCGAAAATAAGTTCATTCAAAAATTTTAAAAAATAAAAACAGGAACAAAAAATTGTCTAAACTCATGTTTAAGTTTATAGTTATCATTCTAACAACTTTTATTCTTAATATTATGCATGCTTTTATATCACATATAAATAAAAAGCATTTAAAGCATATAAAGCAAATTTAATTATTATTTTTTGAGTTTTATTTTAAAATTCGAATGATAACAGTTATAAGGTGATTTTTATTTTTTAATGATAACTGTTAAGGTCCCTGAATGAGTTAGATCAGTAAGACATAAAATAAAACATAATACCAATATATAATACAATACTAGGCGATATTAAGCTCATTGCTTAACATTCTGCGGATCTCTACAAGATGGCAATCGACAAAATCGAGCTGTCCAAATTCCGCAATGAACTTATTACTGTCATGCTTGACTGATTTTGGAGTCAATATCACCAGATGAAATTATAGGCACAATAAAGACTATCAATAGTTTTTTGCCAACTAATGACTAAAAGATCGTTAAGATTAATACTTCTAAAGATACTATATATTTTTGATATAATTTGAGACTACAATTAAGTAAAAAGTGAAGAATGCTATGTTTCTTAATTTCCTGTTGAAGAAAAAGGACAATTTTGATTATGGTGCTGTAGTAATATTTAACTCTTTTTCAACTAGATATTGCTAGGCTAATGATATAGATGTGTATGATTTATATAGTGGGTGACAAAAATTCACTAAATTATTACTTATTAAGATAATCATACAGGATACACAAAGTTTGAAATATTTTTAAAACTTAAATTACTAAACTTTATAATACGAAAAAATTCATATTTACCAATGATACCACGCATCACAGCCATCGCAACCGATCATAGCAGAGCCATCATCTACTTTTCCACATGCAGGGCAAATCCAAACTCGATTTCCTTCAGCATCCTATAATAAAATTTAAATTAATCTCAACTTATATTCTTTACACTATTTTCGTACAATATATGAGGAAGGGCGACAATTCTCAGAAATTTGGTGAGCAGGACTTTGACTACTAAGGTTTATTCGAGTAGAATTTGGCACAGACTCGATGGACGCTGCTTCAGTTGGTATTTTATTGGACGCTGGTTTTGTATGGTCCACAGGTTTTGTACTTTGTAAAAGCTGTTGTGGTAATAAAACAGCGCTAGCAGCTAATGTACCGCCAGCCAACCAAGGACTAGGGGGTGGAACTAATAACTGTGTTCCGTTATTAGGTAATATCGAAGCATTGATGTCGTTCGAAATTTCTGCAACGTTGCTTCCGACTGCATTCTTGGAACTACTATTGTCATCTTAAAAAAAAAATTGATTTAAAAAGAACGTAACAAAAAAAAAATTTCATCTTACTTATATTATATTTAGATTTTGGAGGTCTAGTAACTAATGGTGATATTCTTGCTAACTCTGGTGATGGTTCCTTTGTATCTCTTTCGTTCGTAAAAAAACCAGTTCTAGCTGTTATGGCTTCAGAGCATTCACTTTGTGGAGTAGGAGTAGGTGAATTGCAACCACTAAGTTTTAATGTTAATTTAGGTACAGAGGAACCCAGTTGTTGTTGACTTATATGAGTATCATTTGTGCTTTCGTTTTTTTCCAACATCTTTGGACTTAAATTGTGTTTGTTGACTATTGGTGTTGAAAATTGAGATGGTAAAATACCAAGCGTCGTTAAACGTTGCTGTTATATAAAATATTTTACACATAAATCTATATTATTTTTTATATAGTATTATCAATATAAAATATTTTGAAAAATTTCGTTTTTTCAATAAATTCGTAAAATAATCTTTTAATGCAATATATGTTTATTACTTTAAGATATTGGTTACTCTCCACAATTATAAAAATATACACATTTGTCCTAAACAAGGACTTTGGTAAAAAGATCGTTATCTCTAACAAAAAATAGATTAAATCTTAAAAAACTGTATCCTAAAGATTTTAAAAACTGTTTTTATTATATTTAATGTTACTGAAATGAATGCACCTGTACGTTATTAAGGCTTTTAAAACCACTTTTTATTGCCCACATTCGAACTATTCAACACGCATTAGTGACAAACATTTAAACATGTCTAGGATAATTTTACCACACTCACACAAATGAAATACCATTTCATTTTACTGGTGAATTTATAATACATTTACCCAACTTCATTCAATTCAATATCATTCGAGAAGATTTTTGTCGAGTTAGATTGACTGAAGCCGCAAAAAATATTTGATCCTACACGATCCTCTCTGTATAATTGATACGCATATCAGTATGTTTGTTCGCTTTAAAGTAGTTAAGCGATCATACCACATTTCAGTGACCAAAAATAAAGTCAAAGTATTTTATTGTTTCACAATTACCAATTTCTTTGAAGCAATGTAGTAATACCAAAATTCTAAGGGGTATTTATTTTCAGACTTTATGCTCTATTTATCTGACTCTACATTAGATAGAGGTTACCAGGCAAATGACAATCGTGCTTTATCTTGCAGTGCAGTGGTGCATTATGGAGTTGCTAAAATTACGAAAAAAAGTTGTAAATTCACCGTTATAAAAAGGAATAATTAATATTGTTCATATTTTCAACTCTGCTTTTGAACTACTGCTTATTCAGAATTCCAGTAGTTTGAATAGAGTACTTCATCAGTGTCACTCTTAATTCTGCCTTTGTTGTTATAATGGACTTCTTTGGACGTCTATCCAATTCTTCCCACAAATGTGCAATGGGTTGAGATCTGGAGATTGAAGCGTATGCGACAATGTGTGTTTTGCATGATGCGCACGTCACATATGCACATCAAGAGTCATATGTTAAAACAGACTAATGAAAACAAGTTAAGCAAAAAAGAATTTAACAGTAAAAATGCTGTTATAGGCACAATTATGGGTTGGAATTAGTTTGAACATTGTTGAAAAAGGTTAGTTGGACTTATTATAAATCATAAAAGTAAAATGTGTGTTTCATTTGTATAAGCGTGGCGTTTCTTTATATTCTAGATTCTCTACTGCTAGTTAGACCAATGGAAGTCATATACGGCATTGAGTCACTTAGTTAACAAAAATGATTGAGTTTTGAAATGAACAGGTACAAATTCAACATTGTTGACATGCTGTTTTCAAAGACTACTGCTAATAGACATTTGACGGTATCCGAAGCAATAGCTTGGTGAAACCTATGAATAACTTTTTCAATAAAAAAAAAAAATAATACAATTGTAATGCTATTATAGTATTAACAAAGACTGAAAGTCAAAATTTTGTGGTATAACTACCAAATATAGTTACCAAATTCAGTACATATCACTGTATTTTTTTATGTTTAATAACTTTGTTCACATGTGTTTGGTTTCAAACTAGCTTGAATAATAATTCGTATAGGTAAACTTTAAGTTCAAGTATTTTAAAAATGCAAAAACTTGCATATTTGTTAAATTAATTCTTTTAAGTTTAAAAATATGCCAATACTACGGTTTTATTGTAAACTATAATTTTTAATATTTGATATTACTAATATAAATCATTTATATACTTAAATATATTTCATGAATAAATATTAAATCGTTTATTACATACCTCTTTGTCCTTCTTCTTTTCTTTTTTTAATTTCCGCAATAATTCCTTATTAAGAGAAGAATCGAGGTTTTCAAAAACAGTTTTTTGCAATTTTGGTACATTTTTTTCACTGCGTTGTTCTTTATTCTTATATTTTTCTTTTTTATCTTTTTTTTTTTTCATTTTATCCTTAATTTTTTTCAATTTTTTATGTTTCTTTTGTAAAAACGTACTTGCTCCCGGAGCAACCCCTGCCATATTGACAGTTGAATGAAAAGAACTTGCAGAAGGTATTATTGTAACATCATCAAATATATTTGTATTATCCACAGGTTTTGGTTTTGCAGAAAATGTTGATGGCGTAATTGTTGCTGTAAGACTGGTGGCAGGAATAGTTTTAGCTGAGTATGCCAAACCGGTGCCAACTGATAGAGGAATTAAGTCCGCACCTCCTGCTAACTTGCCCACTGGACTCGATGCTTCACAATGGGCGAATAAACTCAAATTATTAGGAAAATTTGGAGAAGGTATTGTTGTAGTTGTCGTAGATGACGTAGACTCTGTAATTGAGCACAACAAGCCACTTTTTTTATTTTTAACACTTTTCCTTTTTTTTGTTAATCGTTTTGTTAAATATAATTCATTATTTGCCATATCAATATTTTGATTTTTTGTTAAAAAGTCATCTATATGAATATCCTTAACGTTAGTACTTGGTACTTTGTGGAAAGTGTTATCAATATTTGAAGCATATACAGGATTCGTACTGATATTGGAATTAGTTTGTGGAGCATCAGTGGAATCATCCGAAACTTCAATAGGCTCATCATTACTGCAATTAAAACGTGCATTATACATTTGATTTTTATTACAAGCCTGTTTGTCAATATTTAATGTAGTGTTTATATTTGAATTGACTAAGGTCCCTTTAAATAATTCTTTTTCATTATTTGGATTTTCAGTTATATGTTTTTTATTTTCCAAATCACATTTCGGACCTAAGCCAAATTGTAGAGTCATCTCATTACTACAGGCTGTTTCTTTACGATTGTCATTTACTGGAATTTTTATGTTTGTATTTGAAGTATCTGTAGGTAAATCTGATAAAGCAAACCCATCCATTTTTTGGAAATTTTTTGAAAACTCATCTAAATTAGAAAAGTTTGATATAGATTTTGCAACTTTTACTGATTTTTCCGTTTTTAAACTGTCTCGATCATCTATTCCTTTCTCTTGAATACTCGTATTATCTCGAATTAAAGACATTTTAATGTTTTCAGTGACAAGTGGTGCAACATTGCAATAACTGAATTCGATTTGTTTTGATATGTTATCTCCGTTAACCTCAATATCTGGGAAAATTAAAAAAATTACGTTTTACATTTTAATATGTATAAGATAATAAAATTTATTTGTAATTGTTGTAAAATATTTCAAAAAAATAATATATAAGTTTATTTCTTTCAATAAATTAGCGGTATCGAAAACACAGTTTAAACTTTTGAGCCACCAGTTCAAAACGCAGTTTGGACTTTATTCATCTCGAAAATGGTAAAGTACGAGCGATTACAAAAGAAATTAAAAACTAACAACAAAAATTACAAAAAAAAAAAAACAAAGTTAATAAAAAGCTAAAAACACTAAAATCATTAAAAAAAACACAAAATACTCCAAATGAACAAATTCAAATTTAAATCATTTTTTGAAACATCGGGTTAGCTTTTTTTTTTCTTATTTCTAACTTTACGAAGGCTCAGGCTATAAGAGCATTTTAGTCCAAACAAATATAAACCTCCTGGATCCGATCTTATCACCGCAAAGGCTCTTCAAGAAGTTCCACATGTCGATTATCAATATATTACCAGCTATACACAACTCAATAAACCGATTGTATTATTTTCCCTTATAATTATAATGACGCACAGCCCGGAAAAACCACCCGAAGAAAATTTAGTAAAGACCAAAAAACCTTCTGTCGTTAATCATCAAAGTACACGAGAAACTGTTTTTGTTTGTAATTGAAACAGATCATTAAGAAGAATAATCTTATCCCAATCCAACAAATTGGTATCAGACACTTTTTCGCTCATTTTAATACAGACTAAAAAATTGTATGAAGTTAAAGCTGGGGTACATCGAGGTAGTTTTTTAGGTCCCGTCCTGTACACAGACTTTATTGGTAAATTTGCGAAAGCAATGAATATACCAATTGCAACTTTTGCCAATGACAAACATTTACTTGTGAGTCGCAAAAATGTAGAATTACCTTCAAACGGTTTTTGTAAACTACAAAATTGATTTAAGAGATGAAAATATAAGTGAATATCGGTAAAAACAACCTGTTAAACGAAAAACACATATTCTGAGATGATGGCGCTAAATACCTTGCCATACAATTAGATGGTGCCTAAACATGCACATATTTACCAACAAAAAAAAAAATAAATTAGTCTTTATTTTACAAAAATGCAAAAGTTAAGAAGCTGATATTCAAAACTTTTGCTTTGCAAGAAAGTCATTGTTTATAAAGTAATTGTAAAACCCCTATGGCTTTATGGTATTTAATTGTGGAGCTCAGCCACCAAATCAAAAATTGCGATTGTTCAGTTATAGCTTGTCAAATTAGAAGCTAAGAGGCAAAGTTAATTATCCAACTAGTCCAAAGTCGTATCCAATACACATTTGTGTCTATAGAAACTGCACTATTTATTCTATTACTACGTTATGTACCGTAAAATAACATAAATTTCAGCTTTTGTTTAATATCTAATACATTGACAACATAAAAAACTTACAGAGTCATAACAATCTTTAGTGAATAATGGCAAATTCGAAATCAAGAAAAACAGTTATAGTAAAAACATAGTAAAAACTATAGGTCTTGTATTTGAGTAATAAAAACCCTAATTATTTGTAAACTAGTGATATCAATATGGAAAACTTTGTTTAAATTGTTATGGTTTAACGACAATAAGATAAAACAAATAGATTTTAGAGATTTTGATAATTACTGAAGGTCAAGTTTTTGTGTTTATTACCAGATTTCATCCAGCTGGAACTAGGAAACTAGGAATATTTTTGTAAAAAGAGTCTCACAGTAAATGGACGAAAAAATAAACTCGCTTTGGTACATCAAGAATTTATATACTTGTATAAATTTAGGTACGACATTATTTCAATGTAATTCATTCCATTTCAATGCCATTGAAATAAGATTATTATTTGCTACAATGAATACTTCACTTGTGTTATTACAATAATGAATTAAATCAATATTTGATTAAGCCTTTTGTAACTGAATAACCAATTACTTATAATTTTATAACCTATTAATAATTACATGACTATATTTTATATAAAAAATATTTGTAAATGAAAAACTTTCACTACATTTTATAAAAGTAAATAATGGCGAGTAATTTTTAACTAAAAAAGAAATATGTACAAATCCCATCATTTTAAAAAAATGTAAATAATTACCTTCGTCTGTTGATTTTACCGCAGAATACTGATTTGATCTTACATTTGTTAAAGGCATAAATCCTGGTAAAAATCCTGAAGATGAAGGCGCAGATAAAGAGCTATTGCAGGCACCAGCTAAAGATTGTGACGGAAATAATCCTGGTGTTGGTATTAAACCAGGTCTTGGAGGAAATGCATACAAAGGTAACATTGAAAGCATATTCGGATGCATATTAGAAAATGAAGTTGGAAAAGACGATGAAAACGCATTCGCAGCTATATTATTGGTTTGTGATTGATCCCTTTTTTTTGAAACTGGTGATTTTAACGGGGACATTAAAGAATTTGTAATTGTTTTCTGCATGTCAGTAGAATTTATTGGCAAAAATGGTGAAATTGATGGTGAACATTTTAGAATCGTATCCATACGTAATAATTTTTTGTTAATTGACTTTACTTCATCTTTAATGGTTGAGTCAAAGTTATGTTTAGATAACATTTCAACATTATCTGAGTTCATAAAATTTTCGGTTGGTTTTATTTTCTTACGCGATTTACGCTTTTTCATTTGGGATTCTAATAGTTCTTGTCCAAACATTTTTTGCTGAAATGATATTCCCATTGGAAAACCATTACAATTAGTTAAATTAAGCGGCTCTTGGTTCATAACATTGTTTGGTATGTTACTAGTTATGCCCTTCATTCCTTTAATCATTTTTAAATTTTGATTGTTTGGAGCAATTAAACCATCAACTGAAATTAGTTTCGGTTGATTTTTACTGCCTGGTTTACGACCACGCTTTTTTGGTTTATTTATTATATTTAATTTATTATCAGAATTATCAGATGTAATATTCAGTTGTGAATTATTAACATTTATATTTAGAGACGTGCTTTCAAGTTCAGATATATTTGGTGAGGCTGGCGTAATAGTTGTGCCCGTTGGCAAACTTATAATTGGGCTATCTTGCAAATTACAGTTTGTTGTAGCTAATGTTGAATTGTTTGCAGCAGTAGCCACATATTTTACGTTTTTTTGTTTTGAAATCTTTTTAAATATATTCAATTTAGAACGGCTAGGTTCAGTTGATAGTTTAATTCCGCTACATGAAAAATTTGGTTCCCTATTTTCAATTAATGTTAGATCTGCGGGTTCCTTCAAATCTTGCTGACCCATTTTAATTTCACGATTACAAATAAAATCATCCGTTATATTTGTTTGTACTTCATTGACAATAGATTCTATATTTGTTAAATTTTTGAAATTATTTTCTCTTGTTTCGCTTTTAATATTAGTGTTTAAAAGGTCTAATGACGCTTTATTTGTAAAAATATTATTTTCCGAACAATCATCTGCAACTGAATTAACATTCATTATGCTTTTTGTATGCATTTCTAAACGTATTTGTTGTTTAAGGTGTTTTTGCTTTGATTGTTTCTTTTTTAATTTATCAAAGTTTAAATCTTTAGAACCCGGTGTAAAAAGAGACATAATTGATGTATTTATATCTTCTTTAGATTTTGTATTTCCACCAGAATTTTCAAACATTTTTTTATTCTTTTCAGTTTTTGTGTTGAGTTTTTGTAGCATTTTTAGACGTTTCTTTTGCAATTTCTCATTTTGGAGGTCAAAGTTATCAGCTTGTTTATTTAGAGGCCTTTTTTTATTTACTTTAGAATCTTTTGCATTATTTATATTTGAAAATTGGGGAATATGTGACGGTATGGTGGTAGAAGAATTTGGTTTTACAAGTGCTGGAAGTTTTTCATTCTTTGTTTCACTGGTGTTAGTTTTAATCTTTTTGGAAATACAGTTTGAATCCTTCGCAGATAAAATTGCGTTTGTACAATCACTTTCTGTGTTTACAGGATTCGAAAATTTTTCAAGAACATTAGATTTGGTTTCATCGCCATTTAATATATCAATACTGTTAGAAAAATATTCCACTTCTGGAACTGGAGGTGTTGATTGTGGCGGAGCATCTAGACCTGCTAATTTTTCTAAAATAGTAAAGAACATACATTAAAGGATTTCAATTTAACTTATCTGTGTACAGTAATTTTACAACTACAAGTGTTTTACAAACCTATGACATCTGGAACAATTGCATCAGGAGTTCTGCCGTCTACTGCTGTCGATATAAGCCCGCCAGTTGTCATGGTCACACTATTAAGTTGTCTTGTTGGTCGTCCTTCGTTATCAATTAAATAGGAGGTGGGAGAAATTTTGAAAATATCATTTAATTTACAAGACTCTAGATGCGCATTTTTAACATCAACCAAATTGTTTAAAATCTCTTCACTATTTGCCGAATTTTTTTCAAGTTCAGGATTTGATTTATGCCAATTTTTATCAATTTGGTATGACACATTTTGTTCTTCCGCAGACAATATTGGTGGTAAATATTTGTACATATGTGGCGGGCGAGAATGTGCTTCTTTATTTTTAGGATCCAAAAAATACAAAAATTTACTTTTCTGCAAAGGAAACTTAGGCAAATCTACAGCAAACGGCACAGGTTCCACATTATATAAGTAGGTGATCAACTCATCAATGTTAATATCTAGATTTTTACATGTCAGATATACATCATTCAAATTTGCTTCTGTTCGGTTATCTATACATAACAAAAACATTTATTGTTATTACATATTAAATTACTATATATACACAGATATTATATAACTCTCAAATCGGGAATTTGTAAGGTTTTATTTGATAAGAGAATTTATGGAATAACATTATAAATGTATTTAAGACTAATTTTAAAATTATATTAAACATTTGAATCTTCTTATTTTATGTAAACAACTCAATTTGCTATTGCATTGTTATTATACCAAATTTTTTTTTTTTTTAATACATTATTTTGGCAACTAGTATAGTATTTGGATCCAAACAATATAAACAAAATACAATAAGCGCAATGCAAAATTTATATGCAAAATTTGTGCAACAACACAAGTTGATAATTTGTTGCTTAATTGTATATTCTTAAACAAGCGCTTCGCGTAACATAGTGTGTTAAAATTTTGTACGTTTATTATAAAAATATCGTATAGCTAACGATGAGACTTACTGTGCTCAATTTGCCGTCTTAAATCTCGACAAAATTCATTTAAAAACTTATGCAGTATGTCTTGAAGAAGTTCTAAAGATATGGTTTGCGCAGAATTATACCCAATAGTTTGACATATTTGAGCTATTGAAATTCGCAAGTTGTCGCGGAGATATTCAAAACTCATTTCTTAAAACTACGTTGCAAACAATATCACAATTCAAAATAACACTGTATTTATTTTAATTAGCTATTTCCAAAGTTTGGAAGTAAACGTCACTTTCAAAGCTCCGTTTTAATTAAACGCGATTATTAACAATTGAAAAACTCTCCGAAAAAAAAACAACTTTGTCATAAAAAATAATCTTTAATTTCACATACACCTAAACACTAAATCAATTTGTACAGGGACGGCAAAATGTCGATAATTTTCGATAAATTTCGATGAGTTAGTTTAAACACCTAATACATGCTTAATTAAAACTTTTATTTGATTTATTTTGGCTCAACCCACACGAGTGTAAAAATTGCTTCTGCAACTAAGATATCTACTTCATTTGTAATATTGATAGGCATTTAATTCATTATATACCTATCATAATTAATATGATTTTTTTTTTAAAAATAATAATAATTAATATAAAAAATTTTGTATTGAAATATAATAAATCAACCATTTATAATAGCCATGATTTTTCTTTCAATGTTATAAAGAGCAACATTAAGTCTAGCTGAAACAGATTTACACCACTTTGAATATATGTTAAATGCTTATTTTTGACATATGTTTATTGTTATGTTGTGTAAAACATAACATATAAAAACTGTAAACACTAAATGAATAAATAAAAGAAAACAAAATTAGTAATAGAAGGCAATCGTAAGCATTTTTTATTCTTTTGTTTTCATATATTGCAATCCATTATTTCTGTTCATATGATTTTAACGGATGACTGGAATTGCAATATATTGCAATATATTTTCAGTGAACATTCACAATAGGAATAACTTCCACTTAGTGAGAAGGAGGCACGGCGCAAAATAAAAAACTTCGCCAATAAATATAATTAAGTTTGGATTTGGATTAAGTGAAAAACCGTATATTTCTTCATATATTATTATTAAAAGAAGAGAAAAGAAAATAAGCGGCTAGAAGCGGAACGCTATCACAATGGAGACATTTCAATGAGATAAATGAAATGCTAAGCAAACTGGAGCATTTCAATATTTAAAACGTTCAGGAGAGTGCTGGTAAGAAGTAAAAATACATTTTTCCTAACTATTTCGTTTGAATAGTGCACAAACTCAAAGTTTGTGCAGCCTTGGGTACTTGTGGATAAACACGATTAGTCATTGTTTCTAATTTGACAGACACGAGCTCTAAGTTTGGCACTTGCAGTCCGAACAAATTAGATACGGACTATAAACTAATTAAAAATTCGATTATTACCTAAGACCACTGACGATAAGTACTTGGCAATACTCGCAACAGCGTTGTATGGTCAGTCAAATTTCAATAAAATTAAATAAATTTTTGTGTTTGTTCTTTCTTTCTTTCTTGGCTATTCGAAAACCCTTGTGGCGACGCAGTAGACTATGAGTTGATTGATATTTAAATGTAAAATTCAATTTAAAATATATTCAGTTTTATTAATTTGTTTAAGGAAAACGTTTCCAATTTGGCTCTTAAATAAAGTTGTTTGTTGTTGTTAAATATTCGTGTCTTTATTGATTAGCAAAGTGTGGAGTCCTTTGCTAAAGTGGTGACCCCGACGTGATAAGAACAAACGGTTATGCCCATCAAAATTAATTGAACAATATTTTTGCAGGCAACATTTTCAAGCAGCATGTCTTTGTCGACTGTCAACGAAGCCGCAGCGGTGCAGAGAGAGACTGAGTTATAAGAAGGTAATGTGAGTCGCGTGTCCGTCAAGGTACCGCCATTTTGGCACGAACGACCAGAAATTTGGTTCGCGCAAATCGAGGCGCAGTTTGCATTCCGGAAGTCACTTTGGCTCCAACGTCTACCACAGCAGGTACGTGCCATTTTACAAACATCAAGTGTTGACCTGGTAGAATTAGCTAAACTGATGTCGTCAGCCATGCACGTATACATCTAATGCAAAGTTAAAAAACTAAGCATGCCGCAATCGACTCGAGCCGATTGGAGGGCAACGTAATTATAGCTCGACTGACAATACGAGATCCGGCGACATCAACCACATTTCTTATCGACACCGGAGCGGATCTGTCTGTACTACCGAAAAAATACGGTATCAAACGAGGTAAGTCAGTTGTTTCATTATTACCCAGCTTGTTTGCTGCTAATGGCACGGCGATACGCGCATACGGCACCAAGGTCAAAGAGTCCTTGGTCGAGCCCATTGCATATGGTTCGGAAGAGCGATGGCTCGTGGCGACCATGCGGTGACTATCGTATGTTGAATGCGCGAACGAAGCCGGTCCGGTACCCGATCCCTTTCCTGCATGACGTAACAACCATTCTCCATGGAAAAAACATTTTTTCTAAGGTTGATTTACAAAAGGCGTACCACCAGATTCCAATGGCGGAATGCGATGTACCGAAAACGGTGATTACTACCCCTTTTGGGTTATTCGAGTTCCGTTTCATGAGATTTGGCTTACGAAACGCAGCCCAGACATTTCAACGGTTTATTAACGCAACCTTGGCTGGACTAGATTTTGTTTTCGCATACATCGATGATATATTGATTGCTTCAAAAGACGCCGCAGTACATCGAGTTCATCTCCAAACCGTTTTTGAGCGTCTTCGTCAAGCTGGTCTGATAGTGAATTTTGCCAAGTGTGAATTTGGTTGCAGCGAGATCGAATTTTTGGGCCACTCCATCAGTGCACACGGTTTCAAGCCTCCCGAAAGCATGGTGGCCGCAATTCGTGATTTTCCACCAAGAGTGAAGGAGCTTCGGCGCTTCCTGGGGATGATTAACTTTTATCGACCGTTTCTATGCAACGCTGTCAGCAGTCAGCGATGTCTGTTCAATCTCACTCCTGGGAATCGAAAAAACGATAATAGCAAGATTATCTGGAAGCCAGAAGACATTTCCGCATTCGATTCTTTCAAGGCGGATTTAGCACATGGTACAATTCTGAACTTCATGGCGTCGGATTCTCAGCTTACGTTGACCACTGATGCGTCCGATACAGCAGTCGGTGCTGTTTTGCAGCAGATTGTAGAAGGCAAGTCGCAACCTTTAGCATTTTATTCGAAGGCGTTGAATACGGCGCAATTAAAATATAGCGCGTACGACAGAGAGCTTACTGCCATCGCTCAAGCTATACAGCATTTCAAGTACGCACTCGAAGGGTGCGATTTCATCATTCTGACTGATCATAAACCGCTCACGTTTGCGTTCAAGCAGAACAGCGAGAAGACTTCGCCACGGCGCGTTAGGCAGTTGGAATTCATAAGCCAATTCTCCACTGACATCCGTCATATAGCTGGTGCAGATAATTGTGTGGCCGACACACTTTCGCGTATCGCTCAAATTGAATTTGAGGCAGTATAAGTGGACTTGATAGCTAAGGCGCAAGTATCAGATGATGCATTACTTGAACATCAAGCCGACACATCTTTGAAGCTCGTTGCGTATAAGTTACCAATTTATAATACTGAGGTATTTTGCGACATTTCCAAAGGTGTTGTGCGACCGTTCGTTGTTGTCGTAAGTTAGTGATGCCAAAGCTACACAACTTAGCGCATCCAGGCGTAAGAGCGACACGCAAACTGATTCAAGCAGGTTTCGTCTGGCCAGGTTTAGCAAAGGACGCAGCCGAGTTTGTCAAGAATTGTATCGCATGCCAATTGTCTAAAGTTAACCGGCACACCAAGTCACCTATAGGCTGTTTCGCAGGCGTAGATGAGCGTTTCCAACATGTGCATATGGACATCATCGGACCACTACCATTGTCGCAGGGTAAAAGATACTGTGTGACGTGCATTGATCGTTTTTCACGGTGGCCCGTGGTGGTTCCTGTATCAGACATGACGACCGAAGTCATCGCCGGCGCGTTTGTCGAAGGATGGGTAGCACATTACGGCGTTGCTCACATTATCACCACAGATTTAGAACGTCAGCTTGAATCAACGATCTTCCGAGAGTTATCCAGATTATTGGGTATCAAGCACATTCACACGACAGCATATTACCCCCAAGCGAATGGGATGGTTGAATGTATGCATAGGACGTTGAAAGCTGCTTTGCGTTGCCATAACTCTAATGACTGGACGCGCACTCTCCCATTGATTCTGCTGGGGTTGCGGACTACCCTAAAGGAAGATCTAGGCGTCAGTTCCGCTGAAATGTTGTATGGAAACCCGTTACGTGTTCCTGGACAGCTATTGTTACAGAAATGCCAAAAATCAGGTGAAACCGATTTCGTTTCAACACTTCGTAAAGCATTGGCTCAGCTGAGGACAATCAACGGCAGCAGACATGGACATCATCCAGTATATGTTTCTAGCGATCTGCAAACCAGTAAGTTTGTATTCGTGCGTGTCGATCGGGTGAGAGCTCCTTTGGAACAGCCTTATGAAGGACCGTTTCAAGTACTGCAACGAGGTGAGAAAAATTTCGTAATTAACAGAAGAGGGAGCAGGTGCACCGTCGCATTAGACAGGTTAAAACCAGCTTATTTTACTAACGATGAAGACGTCGGCAAGCAGTTTTCGCCATCGTCCGTAGTCAGTCATGAGCGGAAGCATGCACTCGAGAAGAGGGTTCCTAAACCGTCAGTCGATTCCTCAAAGGTTACGCGTTCTGGCCGAGCAGTGCATTTCCCAGCGAAGCTGTGTGACTACCGCGAGTAACTTCTCTTCATGTGTAGCGCGTCGTCGCCCGAACTTCGTCGCTAGGAGGGAGGTACTGTGGCGACGCAGTAGTCTGTGAATTATTTGAAATTTAAATGTAAAATATATTCAGTTCATTAATTTGTTTTAAGGAAAACGTTTCCAATTTTGTTCTTAAATAAAGTTGTTTATTGTTGTTAAAAAGTTTGATTAAAAGATTATTTACATCATAAATTTTGAGAGTTTTATTTATTAGCAAGGTT